TTTTTTTTTTTTTTTTTTTTTTACACATACAAACATAAATTAACCATCCAAGCAACCAAATTAGAAGCATTGAAAACAAACGACAATTAGAGGTCATGCCAATGTAAATTAGGAGAAACTTCAAGTGCTAATATAGCTAGCTTCCGAGTTCGTTGCTCTTTGCAACTGATGTAGCATACTCGTTGGCGACGAGTTGTTATTAGTCGATCGCAGCACCTCCGCCAGTGGTCCGCCCATCGACGCCATCTGCGTGGCTGCCCACCCAGCTGCCCAATTCAAATGCGTGTGCTCCCGCTCAGAATTGCCATCCTGATGAATATGATGGCCAACGCCTTGATCAGAGCTTCCTCCTGTCGACAATTTCAACGACACGTCGGAAGAGGATGATGGGTTCTCGGGTATGGAGATCGAAAGGGAAGTGGTGGAAGCGGATGTAGACTTCATTTTTTGGGTGACATTGTCGCTCCCATTGTTGTTGGACCTTGGCCAATCATCGAAGAAATGCCTCAATATATGGCTGTCGGACTTGGTGTCCCCGGCAACGGCTTCCTTGTGGGATTCATAGAAATTCTTATGCTCCGATAAGGAATCCGAGCAAGAACTGCAAAGAATGAAGAACAAGAAGGTACATTGATTTGAAGAGTAAAGAAGTCGAATAAATAAAGTTTGAGAGAAAAAAAGGGAACATTGATTTGAAGCATTATTAGGCAGAAAGTTGTGGTTGGGGAAATAGTGTTGTACAAATTAAAGAAGAATCAAAAGGCTGAAAAGACAAAAGAAAATTTAAGTGGGACCCAAATAAAATCTAACCGTTGATTAAGATGGAGAAGATCGACGGATGGGGTTTGTCCAGACAAAGAGAAATAATTCCCACTTTCCACAGCCAGAAAAGGCCGACCACCGCCACCAACAACACGGTTGGTGTTGGAACTGAGAGAACAACCACCACCGCCACCACTAGCTCCCGCGGTCGATGTGGTGGTGCTGGGGTTAATTGTGGCAGTTTCCACAGGCTTTCTTGAACGGTTACGGCCACGGTGCATGTGGCGCTCGCAGTATTTCTGCCCTGCGACCACATCTCTTGAACAACGCCATTTTTTGCCGTCGGTTCTCCGACACCGGCCGGGCTCAGGATCCATGGCGGCTCTGCCCCAGTAACCTGCTTGCAACACTGAATAAACAAAACCCCATTAAAGAAATGAAGAAACTTCTCTCATTTTATTGATTACATAACTAAAACACCACAAAAACATCTTCACAATTAATGAGCTTATAGAAGAAATGGGACTTACAAGAAGTGGGATAATGAGGGAAATGCTGAAGAGGGTGATGAAGAAAAAATGGAGTAGTGGAGGATAGAAGGCTTTTCTTGATGGTGTGAAGAAGCTCCGGCGGTACGGCAGCTCCGGCCAACATATACCGGAAAATGAGAGCTTGAAGCTCAAGTTCCTGCCTTTGCGCAGCACTGAAATAACCCCACATCCCTAACAAAAACAGAGCAATAAAAAAACAGAGCAAAGCCGAAGAAGAAGAAGAAGAAGCAGATAAAGGGAAAAGAAAAGGCTCACTTGGGAGTGTATTAGCAGAAGGAGTTGAATCGGGAAATGACGAGAGGATTGATGAAGTTTTGGAGTTGTTGGAATCAGATACGAAGAGAGGAAGAACAGAGGAATCAGAGGAAACAGAGGAAACAGAGGATTCTGGGTGTTGAAGAAAGAACTTGGATATCTTTGCAGAATGTTGTTCCTCTGACTCCTCCTGCTCTCTACATTGCTTCAGATGAAAGTCCATTGAGACAGACTGAAGAAAGAAAAGGAAACACAGAAAAAACAATTGGATTCAAATGTCTTATGCACCTCTCTCTTCAGCTTTTAATATAACATAACAATATATTTTAAACTATGTCTTATGCACCTCCCTTTCCGCACTGCCTTATGTCTACTCATCTGTGTTTTTTTGGCACTATACATTCCACCCCCCACACACACACACAAAAGTGTTCTTTGTTCTTTCCAAATTATTCTTAGAGTTGAAATTTGTGACCGTACAAGCTCACTGCTAGTAGATATTATCTGTTTTTGTTTGTTATCGTCAGTCTCATGGTCTTAAAACACGCTTGTTAAGAAGAGGTTTTTACACTCTTATGAGAAATGTTTTGTTCTCTTCTACAACCAATGTGGGATCTAACAATCCACTCCCCTTGGGAGTCGAGCATCCTCGCTAACACACCATTCGATGTTTGGCTATGGTACCATTTGTAACAACTCAAACTCACCACTACTAGATATTGTTCCATTTGGTCTATTACGTATTGTCATCAGCCTCGCAGTTCTAAAACGCTTCTGCTAGAGAGATGTTTCTACACACTTATGAGAAATGTTTCATTCCCCTTTCTAACCAATGTGGAATCTCATGATCCATCCTCCTTAGAGGCTCAGCATCCTCGCTGGCACACGGTCCGATATCAGATTCTGATACAATTTGTCACAACTTAAGCCCACCCACCACTAGTTTTGGCTCATTACGTATTATTGTCGGCCTCACAATTTTAAAACGTATCAGTTACAAAGTGGTTTCCACACTCTTATTACAAATGTTTTATTTCCCTCTCCAACTAATGTGGTCACAAATTGGAATGATAGACGTATAATGAACGTGATAAAACGTCGTTCTTTTCTACTTAATCTAGTTAAGTTGTTTCGACGATCATCGTGTTATATCAAATTTTCATACAACGTTCTAACGAAGATTAGGTTGGTGACCACGAGAGCGGTAGGGTAGGGTAGGGCACTTGAGGAAAAGACAGTTGGGAGAAAGAGGGGGAAATAAATAGTGAGAGAGGGAAGGATGTGTGAAGAAAAGTTTGGAAGTAATGAAACTGAAAACAAGTATGAGTTGAAAAAGAAGGTTGCAGTGTTCTTCTTTTTGCTTTGGGAACAACATTTGTTCGTAAACATTAATGAAATTGTTTGGTTTTTCTGTGTGTTTGACTGTCGTGGAACTCACCATAAATGTCTTCCTTTTTTTCTTTTTTTGCTTTTGGCTTCTTCATCAATGATGTGTTAAGAAAGAAGATAGTTGGTGTGGATTTACCCATCCACCTCAATTATAACCTAATATGCATACTCGGGTTTCCCGAGACAACTTGAAGAAAGCAAGAAAACAATAGCGATTAGGTTGGAACCCCGAGATGTCATCCTAATGTTTGTGATTTTTTGTTTGGTATCAATTTAAAACTTTCGTTGTAGTTTAGGCAACTCTCTTATCAGTACGTATCTATGTCAATGCTGGTGCTAACGTTTTTTATGACTAATTGACTGATTATATTAGATTTTGAGAGCTATATAAGTAGAGAGGAGACAAGCTATACATAAAACGAGCAAGTTACGGGAACTAGGGTTTTAAAGTCATTTAATAACAACATATGAACTATAATAGAGAGATCATAACTATTTAGAACGATTATATAGCTTTGTAATTTGATTAATCTTTCGGTATGAAATCACCTACTTTAATTTGTTCGGTTTTTTTCTTATTGAGCTGATTTGGGATTTTCTCGTGGACAAACAAACATATTAGAACGGAATAATCAAACGTAAACCAAAAATAAAATTGATGGACAATAATTAATCGAGCTCGAAGTAAGCTCAAACAATAATAAATAAATAAATAAATAAATAAAGATATATTATTTTAAAAGAATCGAGATATTCTCTTGAACTTGGCAAAATAAATAAAATAAAATATTATATTTCTTTTATTATTAAAAAAAAGTAGTAATTTAAAAAAAAATAAGAGGCTAGTATTTTGACACTAGCTCCAAAACCCAATGAAAAAAAGTAAGTAACGAAGAGTAATACTCAGAGTACATAAAACCCAGCTTTTTTTCCTTTTTTTTTTTTATTTTATTTTTTCGAAAATGTTTTTTTTCTGTAATTTATTATTTTAATTTCTGAAATCTGTTGTCTTTTTTATTTACCCCAACAGACCGTCTCCAATCATTGTGTCGTTTTGGTTCTCTCCTTTTACCCAACCAAAAACAATTCATTCAATATGGTAATTTTTTTTTTATCTTCTATTTTTCTCTTTTACCATGCAGTAAAAGTAAAAGAATGGTTGCTCGAGTTCTTGTAAGGTCAACCCTCAACAACAAGCTCACCAAACAACGCTATAAGTCCGATAGAAGAGTTGGACGGGCTACTCTTAAGGGCCTGAAGAGTGTGTTAGTCTTTCGACTGTGGGGCAAGTCAGTGTAGTTTAGGAAGCTGGTGGGTGCTCAATGAGATATAATTGAAATGTATACATTTTAGAATACGTAACTGAATAGACATGCTTAATAAACCTGAAACATTGAAGGGTGTCGAAATACTTGAAATGGAATGCAGTAGTACAATTTGCATTTATGTTTAAGAAAAGAACTCGAAACAGTCTTTTTTTCTAGTTTGGGGACAACGAGGAAAAACAAGACTGTATGAATTATTCCCTTATAAGATAAAGCTAATGGTTGAAGGTTTGGTCTTCGGATTCTCCACAATTTGTACACTATGATTCACCACAAACAATTTTTAGACATTACGTATATATGTATATATATACATATACACACACGTACGTATATATGTATATAGAGAATGTAGATAAGATAAAGTTGGACATTACGTACTTTCTTTCTATTCCAAACATAATAATTTTGTCCCCCACTTTTGTCTTTGTAATTTTTATCGTATATTTTAAGAATTAACAGCGTAGTCCTCGACTTCTAAGATGTCGTTCTAAGTGGTTCTTAAAATTATATAAACGTTAATATGACTAACATAATTTTGAAAATTCTCAAGAATTATGACATTTGTATTAATTTATCTCAGTAGAGAAGTGGGGGAGGAAGAACATGAGATAGTTACGATATCGAAGTGAGGGGTATGAGCGAGTCGTGAGGGCTTCTCGTTGTTTCACAGTTTAATTAAACTTTTTAATCAACAAATATTAATCAAATTTAAGCCCTCTTTTAAGAAAGTAGGAGTGTTTCTTGAGCTGATTATTTATTGACAAGGTTTAAATTGAAAGCGTGAGTAAGAAGCAAAATTTATTCTGCTTTTACCCCTAAAGAATAAAAAGGTAAGAAACACGTAGGTAAAGTTGCAAGGGGATTTTGGCAAAATCTAGGGGCATATTTGTCAACCTGAAAAAGCTACCCACACAATTCCAAGCTTAAGGACTAGGTGATCCAACCCATCTAGGACCTCCTACCCTACGCCCCGCCCTACACTCCCTTCTACTTCATCTAATTTGTGTGAAAATTTGTATCATAGTCAAGCATGAGGTGATGTGTCAGTGAGGACGCTGACCCCCGAAATGAATGAATTTACTCGGAGTGAAACGAAACATTTTTTATAAGGGTATATAAAACTCTCCCTTATTATTAAAAAGATAAGATTGATACGTAAATTTGTTTGAAAATATATTTGCATTTTTTTATTGTAAAAGAATTATTTTGATTATTTAATATATTTTAATAGAAAAGTTAAACTTTAAATTTGATTTAAAATATAGACAAATTGGATGTTTGAAAATAATTTTTTTTTTTTTTTTTAAAAAAGTAAAATATTATAACAAAAATGATAGTTTAATGGGAATGAAAAAAATAGAAAGGATCATCTCACGTGTCTGAGAGAGAGTGAGAGGAGGGGAGCATTCGACACTGTCCAGTTTTGTCAGAGAACTGTCAGATAAAATTCAAAAAACCTTGTCAGACCGCACAGCTCCTCACGTGGGTCCCTTTTTCTCTTATTATTTTTTTATTTAATTTTCTTACATTTTTTCTTTCATACAAAATTAAAAATAAAAAAAAAAAAGAAAAGAAAAGAAGAAGAAGGGCACGCCGGCACGCGAGGTATCACGTGCCTCCACGTGTTTTCTCATCACGTGTCTTTTCTTTTTTGTCTCCTTATGCTTCCCTATCTCCCTATTTACCTATTGCGCTTGAGCTTCTCTTCAGTGTATCCACTCATATTGTAAGTTTGTAACCCCAACTTAACTGCCTGCCTCTGATTGGACCACGTGAGGACGTGTTCATTTTCTTTAAAAAATTTCGGCCCAAATTAAACTGGGCTTTCACCCAATTCTGCAAGCCCAATAAACCCAGAAAAATGGACAAGGTAGGCCCAATATTCGAGTAAATAATTAAATTTAATTTGGTCAAATTGGGTTATTGGACATTTGAGCCTGGGCCCAAAAGGTATTGCGGTCCGAACCCGCATACCTATGAAAAGCTCTATAAATAATATTTAATGTTCATTGAAAAATGAAGGGCATAATTGAGAAACTAACATTTGGAAGAGGCTATAATTGGAAAACATATTTCATTCAAAGGACAGCGGCGAGTGCGACCATGGCTGTTTCTTAAAAGCTGAACCATATAATGGGCCCTATGGCCCACTTGGGCCGTTCGATTTGACTTCCAACGGCCCGTCCGAGAGGTCAGTTGATGGAAATGAGGACAAATTTTGTGGGTGAGATTCTAACCTCGAATACATCAAACAGTTGAACCAAAACGCTTCAATTTTTATTTAAATATTTATATATTTCTTTTCAACTTTTATTTTTTTAATTAATTTTTAATCACACTTTATTTATTTTTGTTCAACAAACTTTACCTATTTATTGGGTTTAGCATTTGATTTATTTTCTGCACCAGGGGCCATGGATTCATCTCTAAGCTAATATTTATGGCTATTAAATATTTATTAATTGAATGCCATAATTAGTATTAATATGAAAAATAAAGTTTTTGTTTTTTGTTATATTCACTTACAATATTTTTAAGGTATACCTAACCAAATTATTTGAAGAAAATAGAAAGCAAAATT